CCCCGTGGCCTGGAGGGATGGGGCTGCCCCGGGGTACCTTGTCTCTCAGCTGGCTCTGCAGCGACTCCAGCTCGTTCCTGCTGCTCTCCTGCTCCCGGCTGAGCGTGTCCCGCAGCTGCTGCAGCTCCGCCCGCAGCGCTGCCATGTCCTGCCCGTGCCGCTCCGCTGCTTGGCTCAGCCGGTCCCGCTCCTGCTCCAGGCTGCTGATCCGGGAGTTCTGCTCTGCTCCCGCCTGGGGGGGCATGAAATGGTGGTCGGGGCTGTGCCGAGGGTGAACCCTCCAGTCTGGGGTCTGGTTCCTGGTCCAGGCTCGGGCCACCCCCACTGTCCCTGCAGGCGCAGCCCTGCATCACCACCTGGCAGTGATGATCTCACCTGGTGACAACCGAGGCTCCCAGGGAGCCCTTTCACTTTTATTCAGTGAAAATTCACTTTTATCATGACCGTCACCATCCTGATGGAGGAATGGATGTGGGCTGTGGCTGTGGCCTTGGAGCTCTGCCCCATCCCTGTCCTGCTGCAGTGTCTGCCCACCCTGGGAGTGGATAACTGCATTTTCCTGCCATCTTCTCCCTCCTCCACCAAGCCCAGACATCCCTGCTATGCTCCACATCTCCACAGGCAGGGGATACCCTCTGGCATGTCTTGCAGTGTGATGGCACACTGCTGCCTGAGTTTACAACGGGCAGAGTTCTTCCAGGGCTTTTATTCAATGATCCCTGCTGCTGGAGCCCACTGCTCCACATGCTCCTGCACCCAGGAGCACGAAACCCCGTGGTGTGACCATCCAACCCACCCAGATGTGGAGAGGAAGAGGACAGGGTTCTCAGGCCGGTGGTGGGTATCATGTCTCAGAAGGGTAAGGCCTGGCTGCCCACCCCAGGGCTGTGTGAGGGGTTGCAGGGTCCCCCCCCACTCTCTCACCTGCGTGCTGGACTCCAGTGTGCCCTGGAGCACCTGCAGCTCCTGCCTGCTGGCTGCCAGCTCCCGCTTCAGCGTCTCCAGCACCTCTGCCTGCTCCTGAGACTGCGGCAAGGGGAGAGGTTGGCAGCACTGGTGCCCCATGGGGGGGCCCCTGCTCATCCCTGCTGTGCCCCCCCATCCATACTCACCTTCCTCTGTGCCTGCTCGCTCACCCTCTGGAAGGAGTCCTCCAGCTCCTTCTTCTCCCGCTCCACATCCCCCTGGGCCTGCCTGGCCACCGTCACCTGCTTGGTCACCTCCGCGTTCTGGCGATGGCAGGGTGAGCTCAGCATCCCCCTGTGCCCAGGGGGGTACAGCTGGTAGAAGGCATGCCAGGGGGGTTTTTGGGGAGCCCACCTTGCGCAGCAGGTCAGCGTGGTTCTGCACCAGCTCGCTGTACTTCTCCTTCAGTTTGCTGTAGCGCTGCTCGTTGGCCTGCGCCCGTCCTGCCACGCAGGGACACCGAGGTGAGCCCTCAGGCCCCCCCCCAGGGGCTCACCCCCACCCCAGGCTGGTCCCAGCTCCCCCTGCTCACTCTCGATCTCCGTCAGGCTCCGCTGAGCCTTCTCGGTGTCCTCCCGCTGCTTCTTGAGCTCCTCCAGCTCCGTGCGCAGGAACTCGCTCTCGTCCTGCGCCTGCTGCTTCAGGTGCTGCTGCTCGGCCAGCTCAGCCTCCAGCTCGCTGGCACGGCCCCTCAGCTGCACCGCACCCCGCGCGCTCTGCGGGCACAGCCGGGGGCTGACGGTGCCATTCGGGGCCCACCGGGCCTGTCCGATACCCACCAGTGCTGCCCAGTGCCCACCAGTACCATCCAACACCCACCAGTACTGCCCAATGCCCACCAGTACCATCCAACACCCACCAGTACCATCCAACACCCACCAGTACTGCCCAATGCCCACCAGTACCATCCAACACCCACCAGTAATCCCATACCATCCAACACCCACCAGTAGCATCCAATGCCCACCAGTACCATCCAACACCCACCAGTAGCATCCAGTGCCCAACAGTACCACTCAATACCCACCAGTAATGCCCAATGCCCACCAGTTATGCCCAATGCCCACCAGCAGCATCCAATGCCCACCAGTACCATCCAACACCCACCAGTAGCATCCAATGCCCACCAGTACCATCCAACACCCACCAGTAATGCCCAGTGCCCACCAGTACCATCCAACACCCACCAGCACTGCCCAATGCCCACCAGTACCATCCAACACCCACCAGTAGCATCCAGTGCCCAACAGTACCACCCAATACCCACCAGTAATGCCCAATGCCCACCAGTTATGCCCAATGCCCACCAATAGCATCCAATGCCCACCAGCAGCATCCAATGCCCACCAGTACCACCCAATACCCACCAGTACTGCCCAATGCCCACCAGTACCATCCAACACCCACCAGTAATGCCCAATATCCACCAGTACCATCCAATACCCACCAGCACTATCCAATGCCCACCAGTACCATCCAACACCCACCAGTACTATCCTACACTCACCTGTACCATCCAATACCCACCAGTATTACCCAGTACCCACCAGTATCATCTGATGCCCACCAGTACTGCCCAATGCCCACTAGTACCATCCAATGCCTACCAGTACCATGCAGCAGCCCCTGCCATGGGTACCACCCCACAGACCCCCAAATGCATCCAGCTGAAGCACTGAGGGTGCTGAGCCCACCCCCTCTGTGGGAATGCAGCCCCCTGGCACACCTGGAGACCCCCAGGGTGGGCAGGGATGCAGAAGCCATTGGGGACAGGGCAGGGCAGAGATGGGGACACCATCTTGCCCATCCAGGGGTAGAGCCACCACCCCACATTGCCAGTGTGAGCCCCTGGGTCTCATCCTGCCCGCCTGGTTGTCACCCACCTCGGCCTTGAAGTTCTCCAGCTCCTCCTTCAGGGCTGCGATCTCCCCGTAAAGCTGCTCGATTAACCGGTCCCTGGGAAGGAGACACAGGGCACCTCCTCAGTGCCATGGGGACACGGCCTGGGAGGGGAGGTGTCCCCCGTGCCACCGCGGCTGTGGTGCTGTTCCAGGAAGGGAGGTCCTGGTACGATCCCGGCCTGCTCACTTGTCATCCTTGTTCATCCCGTTCTGGCTGTTGAAGTTGAAGGGGTCGCAGCTGAAGGCGCTGCCGAAGATGTCGTCAAACTTGTTGTCAAACAGGCTCTGCGGGAAGAGCAGGATGGACCTGGAGTGACCCCACCACCACCCGGGAACCCTCACCCCCTCCATGTCCCCAGTGTCACCGCCAAACCAGCTCACAAGCTGCCTGGACACTGGGGCTGGATCCCCCCACTGCTCCCAGGGCACTGAATGTGTTGAACTGCCATGGGGCATCTCTGGTCCACCCCCACCTAACTCCCAGGGGGAGAAGATCCCCAAAGCCATGTCACCACACGCTCCTCCTCCTCCTCACTCAGTGAGGGAACAACCTTTGGTGGAGAGGAGGGTGAAGACCTAAAGTGGCAGATGCTCAAAGCCAAACCTCTCCTCGCCCATCACTGGAGGGCACCACACCACTGAGCAGCACTGGGAGACAAATCCAGGCTGGCTCAGCCCTGGCAGCACCCAGCTGGGACATCCAGCTCCCAGCTGGGACATCCAGCACCCACTCACCCCCCAGCAGTGACACTCTCCAGTTCCCAAAGCCACCCCTGCTGTCTCAGCCCCCACCACGGTGTGGATTTGGAGAAGTAACTCCGGGCTCGGAGCTGGAGGGCCCCTGCCACCCTCACCTGCGAGGCCGTGTCCATCTCCACCAGGTCTGTGATGGGCTCGCTGTCAGGGGAGGACGCCTCAGCAGGGATCACCACCACGGGGCTGATGTGCTCCGACAGCGCCGAGGCTCGCAGGAAGTTGGGGGGGTTCTGGGGAGGGACGGCAGCAGGGTGAGGGGAAGGGCTGGCACTGCTGCATGAGGGCATGGCTGGGTGAAATCCTGCCCCAGAGCTGAGCTGGCCAGGCCTTGATCCATGGGAATGGAGCCAGGACCCACAAGGATGGAGCCAGGACCCACGGGGATGGAACTAAGACCCAGAGGGATAAAGCCAGGAGCCAAGGGGATGGAACCAAGACCCACAGGGATGGAACCAGTGTCCACAGGGATGGAATCAGGACCCACAGGGATAGAGCCAGGACTCGCAGGATGAAACCAGAACCCACAGGAATGGAGCCAGGATGCACAGGAAGGGAAGCAGAACCCACAGGGATGGAGCCAGGACCCACAGGATGGAACCAGAACCCACAGGATGGAACCAGAACCCACAGGGATGGAGCCAGCACCCACAGGATGGAACCAGAACCCACAGGGATGAAATCAGAACCCACAGGGATGGAGCCAGGACCCATGTGGTTGGAGCCAGGGCCCGCAGGGATGGGACCAGGACCTGCAGGAATGGAACCAGGGTCCAAGGAGAGGGAGCCAGGACCCACAGGATGGAGCCAGGACCCATGGGGATGGCTCTTAGCAAGGGCTTTGGGTTGGAGAGAGAAGGGATCCCAGCCCCTGGTCAGACAGCAGCTCCATCCCACAGGACACCACTCAGAGAGGGATGCAAGGATGATCCTCAAGGCCCATGAGCCTCACGGTGCCACCAGCCTCAGGAAGCCAGGTAAGGTGACAGGCAGCTTTTTTGGGGCCTCCCCGGTGCCACCCACCCCAGAGCTGCCCCTGGCCACGGGGACAGGGAGTGTGGGGACTGGGGACTGTGGGGTCTCACCTCTGGCAGCTGCGGGATCTGAATCAGCCGCTTGAAGTACTGAAGGTTGCTGGAGCGATAGAAGAGGTCCTTGAGCCTGGAAGGGACAGGGAATGGTGATGGCTCTTGTCCAGCCTGGACAATGTAGGGATCTCTAACCCCTTGCCTGGCTCCAGGTGTCACCTGGCTGGAGGGGACTGTGGTGTGTGCTGCCACCAAACCCACTGCCAGCCTCCCACCCTGGGAAAAAACTGACTGCTGGAGGATTTATCCCATAAACCCAGGGCCTGGTGGGCAGGGAGAAGAACCTGGAACTTGAGCAACCTGGCCTAGTGGAAGGGGGTTGGACTGGATGATCTTCAGAGGTTGCTTCCAACTCAAACTACTCCCTTCCCACCCAAAGCCCCCACGAGCAGGTGTGGGGCTTCCAGCCTGGAGCCAACATCTGCAGTTCCCACAGTTCATCACCTTCAGTTCCCACAGTTCATCACCTTCAGTTCCCACAGGAGCATCTCCCCCAGGAGCAGGGTACTTCCCTCCAGGATTTCCAGTTTTGAGGAGGAGCAGCAGTGCCCAACCACACCAGTTTTGGCTCCCATCCCTCTCAACCACCTCAGCACCCCAGCTGGGATCTCAGTGATGTTGATACCTGTCCCAAGGTTAGTCCCTGGGGGGTCAGAGCCCACGGCCAGCCCTGATATCTGCTGTTTGCAGTTTGTGACCTTGGTTTTGAACCAAGCTGTCCCTCAGCACCTTGACATCCTCCCCCTGTTCTCAGTGGCCAGTTTTTGTTTTGGCTGCCCCGAATAATCACATACCAGAGGCCACAGCACATCCCTGCTCTCTGCTTTCCAATCTCCATGCCCTGGGAGCACCCCCAGAGCACCAGCACTCCAGCTCTGGGCACTTACTTTCGGAACTGCTCCAGGAAGCGATCCCGGTGGCCCTGCAGCGTATCCGCCGGCAGACCTGGAAGAAGCAGCAAGCAGAAACATCACTGGGTGTCTCCATGGATCAAGGGACAAGCTATCAGCACAGCCACATGGGAATGGGTCTTTCCCAGAGATGGCCACCCTCCTCTGGGAGTCCGAATGCTCCAGGCTTGGTGTCCCGCTGCAGGAGGGGACCACACCCCAGGGAAGGGGAAAGCACGGAGGTCAGGCAGCAGCCATCACAATTCCAGGTCCTGAGGGACGTGGGTTTGGCACTGCCTTGTCTTGGTGACTCCTTTTATCTTCCCAGAAAGGCCGGGAAGGGGATGGGGGCGAACAGCCCAGCCTGAGCAGGGCGGTGACCCCCAGTGTCTCCCTCCGTGTCCCTCCCTGCCCAAGGCGGTGGCGCTGGGGACACTCACACGAGTGGAGCTTGAAGAGCAGCTTGACGGTGTAGTCGTAGAGGTGGCTGCAGTCCAGGATGACCTGGATGAGCGGGGCCAGGCGACACTGCCCTGCTGCTGTCACCGACACCGAGCGCGACATGTCCAGGGAGCTGAACACTGTGGGGGGGAGCATGAGATCGGGATCTGGGAGCACCAGCAGCGCTGGCGGGTGCCACGCTGTGTCTGCCAGATCCACAAGTGTCACCCACAGCAGGAGACATTCAGCTGGAGCAAGATACCCACTGGCCCCTGGGGACCCAGCCTGCAGAGGGGTAAGCTCAGCAGGAGGGGAAATTCCCACCCAGGACTCCCACCCAGGCTTGGGAACACTTCAGCCTGCAGCTGGGTCTGACTCCTGCAGTGTCCCTGGGCAGAGCTGACACACAGCCCCTATGCTCTGTCTGTCACTGTCATCCCACTGGCACTCAAGTGTGCTGGGTGTGCTGGCAGGAGATGCTCCAAAACCAGCCAGGAGCAGCTGGAGACCATCTCATTCCACCTCCTGCCATGGGTAGGGACACTTTCCACTAGCCCAGGTTGCTCCAAGCCCCATCCAACCTGGCCTGGAACACTCTCAGGGATGGAGCAGCCACAGATTCTCTGCCCAACTGTGCCAGGGTCTCACCACTCTCACAGCCAAGAATTCCTTCCCAATATCCCATCTAACCCTGCCCTCTGGCAGTGGGAAGCCATTCCCCTTGTCCTGTCCCTCCACCCCTTGTCCCAAGTCCCTCTCCAGCTCTCCTGGAGCCCCTTTAGGCCCTGGAAGGGGTTCTCAGGTCTCCTGGATCCTTCTCTTCTCCAGGTGAACAACCCCAGCTCTCCCAGCCTGACTCCAGAGCAGAGGGGCTCCAGCCCTTGGAGCACCTTTGTGGTTTCCTTGGACTTGCTCCAGCAGCTCCACGTCCTTCTGATGTTGAGAACCCCAGAGCTGGAGGCAGCTCTGCAGGTGGGAATTCACCAGAGTGGAGCAGAGGGGCAGAATCCCCCCCTCCCCTGCTGCCCACACTGTGGGATCAGCCCAGCAGAAAGGAGGCTTTTTGGGCTGCCAGTGCACGTGGCTGGGGCATGTTGAGCATCTCCTCACACCCCCAAATCCTTCTCCCAGGGCTGCTCTCCATCCCTTCATCCCCCAGCCTGGACTGACACCAGGGGTTGCCCTGCCCCAGTGCAGCACCTTCTGCTTAGCCTTGTTGAACCATAATTCAGGTGAAGTGCCCAGAAGAGCTGAGCTGTGGTGCCCTCAGCCAGTACCCCCACAGAGCCTCCCCCCAGCTCGGCTCAGCCCCCCACGGAGGGTCTGGACCCCCAGAGAGCCCTCATCCCACCCTCTGTCAGGGTAGCACAGGGGCTTACCTGTCTGGAAGAGGTTCAGCTCACACTCCAGGTAGTCAAACATCTCCACCGTCAGCTGAAAACTGGGAAGCAGGGACAAGGATGGTGGGGGACTGTCCCCATGGCCACCCACGGGCCTCACCCTGTGCCAGGTCCCACCCTGGCAGGATGAGGGGTGCTCCAGTGTGGATGCACCAGCCTTTCCCCGGGCTCTGCTGGGGCAGGTGGGGCAGGTGGAAGGTCCCATCCCTGCTGGGTGGTGCCCCCCTGGCTGCACCCACCCCTCCCTCACCTCCCCCTGCCCTGCACTCACAAGTTGTTCACGTCGTTCTCCCCGGCCTCGTCCAGCTGCCGGTCGGACATCTGCAGATTGCCAGGGAAGCGGGGATTCTGTGGGGAAACAGGAGTTGGGAAAGGGTTCCAGAGGATCTCCTGCTCTGGAAAAAGCTCTGGGAGCACCAGGACTGTGATCCTGTGGGCTCGGTGCAAACACAGCTCCTGGATGTGCCAGGGGGGTGATGTGGGGGCAGAAGGGGGGTAACACAAGGTCTCCAAACCCTGGGTGACCACAGCATCCCTAATCCAGGTGCCTGTGTTCTCCCCAGCAAGAAAAGCTGATTCTCCCTGGGCTGAGAAACCTGCTGAGCAGGGAGGAGCTGTGAGCTGGGGGGGGATGGAGACAATATCTGCCCCAAGGGGCAAAGCCTCCTCGTGCAGCCCTGGCATTCTGGGGAAGGTCACATCACACCTCCAAACTGAACCAGGGTGATGGGAACAGAAAACACCTCTTTGCAGCAGAGCTCTTCCACCTCTGCCTGCCTAGGACAGCTGGGAGGGGATGTGCACCCCAAAGCTGAGGGGCTTTTAATGCTTTTTGTAGCCCACCAACTCCCAGGTGTCCCCAAGAAACCTTGGGCCACCATGAATCCTGCCACTCCCAAAATGCTGGTCCTTGGGCTATTTTTGATCCAATTTTAATGGCCACTGGCAGCTTGGGAAATGTTTCATGGAGGCAGCAGGATGGTCATGACAGAGGGGAGGACCCAAGGGGGTGACAGTGTTGGAAAGGCTCTGCCAGCCCCTGTCCTGTCCCTGTCACCCCTTGCTGCAGCCTTGGGGACGGGGGGCTCACCTTGGTGTGAAATTCCATCTTGGTTCTCAGCAGTTTGAGGTAGATGCTGCAGAGCTGCCCGTAGCCCTCGCTCAGGTGGCCCTGGAGACCCCAAAAAGCTGCTGAGATCCAGGGCAGGCTGCAGAAAAGCCTTTTCCCCCTGCAGAGCGAGTGACCCCTCCCTCACCTCCCCAAAACCACAGCCAAACGCTCCTCGCTGGCACCCAGCCCCTGGATGCAGGTTGGCTTCACTGAAAGGCTTTGGGTCAGGACCTTCTCATCACCTTCTCTGCACGTTTCAATGTGGCTTTTGACCATCAAAGCTGGGTTTTACTGGGTTTTACCATAAAATGGGAAAGAGGCCTTCGATTTTGGTGGGAGGGGACATGAATGTGACCAGCAAACCCACCCCAGGGAGGTGACGGCAGCCCTGGGTCAGCCCCAGCTGTGCTCAGCCCCTGGATCGTCCTGGGAGAGAGAATTCCCCAAGCCTACAACCACCCAGCCTGGCCAAGGGACCCCTGGGGTGTCCCCACCATGGTGGCCACTCACCCACATCCTGCTCATGTCACTCAGCTCATTCTTGTATCTCACGGAGTCTTTCAGGACCTGGAGGAATGACGGTGGCAATCAGCAGGCAGAGCACCAGGAAACAACATCCCACACTTGGAGCTGGCAATTGGGGTGAGGAATGGCAGGTCTTGGTGCATTCTCAGCCCTTTGTCCTGCTGGTGGTGTCACCACTGCCAGTCCCAGGTGTCCCAGTTTCCCCATCCACACACGGAGCAGGAGGATCCTCACTGGTGGCTCCTGCACTGAGTGGTTTCCTCTGGCACTGGCACTGCCACCGGCACCAGGGTTTGGAGCACAGGGGTTTGTGGGCAGGGCAGCACTGGGAAGGCTCTGGCACCAGTCCCCATGCAGAACTGACCCCCACGAGGGCACCAACCCTATGTGAGGGCTCTGGCACCAGTCCCCACCTGGGAGTGGCCCCCGGGAAGGTACTGACCCTCCAGGAGAGCTCTGGCACTGGTGCCCTCTCAGGACTGATTCCCAGGAGGGCACTGAGCTACCAGGAGGGCACGGATCTCCCAGGAAGGCTCCGACTCCAGTACCCACCCAGGACTGACCCCCAGGAGGGCACCCACCCACCAGCACCTCCCACTGCCCGCTGCAGCCCCATGGGAGAAAGGATTTGGCCCCGGGGCAGTGGCTGAGCTGAGTTTTGGGCACTCACATTGGAATGTCCATCCCGGAGGAGCTTGTGGAAGACGTGGCAGAACTTCCAGCAGAGCACGGCATTGCCGGACAGTGGCAGCCGGTTCACCACTGACCAGAAGGTCTGGGCTCCCTTCTCGTGGTGTGTGCCCAGGATGCACGGTGCTGGATGGTCAAGGAAATGCTTTTTGGCTTCCCATTTTTTCCCATTTGGTGATGGAGAGTGGCCACCCAAGGCCAGCTGTACCCACAGAGCCCAGGGGGGCCAGGCCACCACGGGGAGCTGATGCTGCCCAGCCCAGGTACACACTGTCCCCAAGGGTGGCACACACTGTCCCCTCTCCCCCAGCCCCAGATCACCACTCTGGGAAAACCATGGCACGTGGCTCTGCCCCCACCAAGCCTTCCCAGCTGCCTGCCCAGGATACTGGGAATCTACTTTTAGTGGCAGTGTGCTCAAGCATCCTTACCTCAGGACTCCAACCTGCTGTGGGCACCTTCCCCTCCAGCCCTCCCATGGGATGGCAGTGCCAGGAGCACCAGCCTGGGCACCCCTGACACTTGGAGGCTGTGGCAGCAGGAGCAGGGAACCTGTGCCATGGTGGAAACACCCCCAATAGCCCCTCAAGGTCCCAGCCCACCACCCCCAGCACCTCTCCCCACACTCCCTCTTGCTGCTGCCCCTTTTCCGAGCAGCCCCAGCCCCGCTCCCACGCTCCTTGTCCCTCAGCCAGCTTTGGGAAGGATATTCCTGGCGTGTTTCTCCTTGACAGCCACTTCCTGCGCATTAATGGCCTTATTGATGCTGACGGTCTGCAAGGGAGAAGCGGTGGAGGGGGGTGAGATGGGAGGGGTTTGGGCTCCCCCCTGGTCCCCCCTCACCCACTGAGACCCCCTGGCTCTGCCAGCACCTGCCAGTGCCTGGGTCCCATCCAGGTCCCCGGCCCTGCTCGTGCCAGCTGGATGCCGACCTTTCCCGGATGCCTTTCTGGGATGTGGTTGGCATCCGCCGGGTTCAGCTGCTGCCAGGACTCATTTACTCGGGATAATAACGATGCAATTAAAGCAGAGCCCACAAAGAACCCTCTGCTGCCCTTGGAGCGCTGGGACAGGCGGAGGGAAGGAGAATCCCTCCCCTGCCCTTGGATCACAGGCAGCAGCTGGCGGTGCCTACTCTGCTTTTGGGGGAGCTGAGTGGGGAGGACAATTCAGAGACCACTGCAAATCAGGCAGTGGAGTGGCAGGACCACCTCCAGGGCTGCCTGGCAAGGTCCCAGCTGCTCCATGGATTAGAGGGAGAGGAGCTGGACCCACAGGCAGGACTTCCTGTGCAGGTGTTGGGGACCTCAGGGAGCTCACACTGAGGAGCCTGGGCAGAACCAGCCACCATTTATCCTATGGAAAGCAGTGGCAGCCACTGGAAGCATTTTCCATGCAGGATTTTTAACCCTACCCCATTTCTGATCCTCCATGGGGGCACAGTGATGCTGGCTCGGGGTCACCCTCTCCCCAAGCTCCAGCCTTGCCAAGTGCTTCCCTGGCACCTGCTCCGTGAGGATCCTGCTGCCCAGGGAAGGAACCATCTGGCTCAGCACTGCCAGGAGTAGCTCATTACTGACATAAACCAATTAAAGCAGAGGGATTAATCCCAACACCTCCCTCACTGCAATCCTGTGACTCTGCTTCCTGGCCCTCTCCAAGGTGGCCCCACACTGCTTCATCTCCACGGACCACGGTGACTCTGTGCTGAGCAGGGCTGGGGGGGGCCCTTAGGACCCCAAATATGGTGGGATACAGCCCAAATCCCCCAGGAAGTCCCTCTGCCACCAAAGCTGGAGCAGGAACAACGATGGGCCGAGATAGAAGTGACCTCACCCCCAGTGCACCCCCAGCCCAGCACTCCCATCCCAGAGCTGAGCACCCCCTTAGCTGAAGCTGCATCCTGGTGTCCCAGTATGAACCAGTTCTGCCGTGGGGATGCTGCTGCTCCATGGTGTTTGCAGCCCCATCCCTAGGGCACATCACCCTCACCACTTACTGGTGACCATGACCAGTAAAGACCACAGAGGTGACCATGGAGGTCACCAGCAGGACACTGGAGGCGTATTTTGGGGTGTCAGGAGACCTGTATTGCCAGTTACAAGGCACCCATCCCAGGCACCCAGAGCAGACCCTGGATCTCAGCTTGGTTTTTTTAAGGAGAGCTGAAAGGAACATCGGCAATGGAGAGTCCTGACCCCACCAAACACCCCTTCCCGAGGAGCTGGATGGAGGCAACAGGTTCCCAGCACATGAGGACAAGGGTGGGAGTCACCTCTGCAGCTCTGCCCATCCCAGAGACCACAGCCCCTCGTCAGGAAAACCATATAAATCAATTCAGCATTAAAAAATCCCAACATAAACCATCAGGAAAGTGCCTCTGCCAGCAGCCACAGCCTGGAGAGGGATGTCTGTGTCCCAGAGGCTTGGAGCAAGATGCCCACATCCCAACAGTGCCAACAGCCTGGGGGATGCCCATATCCCAACAGCCATCCCCAAGCCCCCCACTCCATTTGGAGCACACATGATGTCTGTGTGGATGGCAGAAAGGTTTTCCAGGGTAAAGTGAGATCCCACATTCCTGTCCTGGTTGCTGTGGACACCCCATGTCCCCACTGCATTCCCAGGAGGGCAGGGCAGGGGTCCCATCCCGGGAGCCACTCAGAGATGCCCAAAGTGCCTCTCCAGCAGCTCTGGCAGTGCCCACATGAGCAAAGCAGAGAAACACGGAGCAGCAGCGAGGGACCAAGGCTGGAAGTGTTACCTCCAAGGGATCAGCGGGGTCATGGAGGGTGATTTGGCTGCAAAACTGGGTCAGGAAGGAGGGAAAATTGGGGCTGCCAGGACAGTGAGCCCTGACCTCTTTCTTACAGAGGGTCTTTCACCCCGACTCCCCGGTGCTGCTTCCTAACACCATCCTGCTCCTGCAGCTGATGGAATTTGAATTTTAATTTAATTATGAGCTTCTAACCTAAGAGGGCACCTTCTGACCCACCAGGCCACGTCCTGGGCAGCTCTGCTCCAGCTCTGGTTTTGTGCTGATGGAGGAATGTCAGCCCCCATCCCTGTGCCCATGGGTGCCCAAAGGGAACAGGGCAGGGGACACAGGGGACATGGGGCTGTCCCACACCCCACCCTGCTGCCAGGACAGGAAACCCCGGGGTTTCCTCTTGTGCAACAGGCCCGGAGGGAAGTGGGAGGAGAGGCCGGAGGGGCCATTGCACAAGGGGAGGTTTGAGGGGTGACGCTGCAATCCCGACACCCCGGTGGGACAGAGCTCAGTGGGGCAGGACCTGGGACAGGGCTGGGCACGGGGCTCTGCCAGGCTGGAGAATGGCTCCATGGGTGCTGCAAGGGCTAGGAATGTTGCAAGTGCTGGGAACACTGCAAGGGCTGGGAATGCTACAAGCACCGTTAGCTTTCCACCACTGAGCAGAGCAAGGAAATCCCACTGGCATGAGCATAGAAAGGCTCAGGCCATTTGGGAGAGGAGCAGTTTGGGACTATCTGTCCCAGAGCAGTAGGACCTGCCCAGATGCCTTTTCCTCCCTGTGCAACACCCAGATGGTTCCCAGGAACCTGTGGAAGGTCTCTTGCCCATGGCTTGATGGGCCACCATAGCCCTGTCCCATGGGAATTCAGCGCCGAATCCCACTGGCAACGAGCTCTGCCAGCCCTTGGGGTGATCTGGACTAACCCCATGGGAATCCCCAACCCCAGACTCAGCCCTGCCCCTCCCACAAGCAGAAGCCACAGCAGGACAGAGTCCCCAGGCAGAGTGACCCCCCGTCCATGGCTCATGCCACACGTCCGGGTGTGCGGCCGCCGGCTCCAGACAGGGACAGAGGAGCCCAAAACTGCATGGAAGGAGCGGGACAGGGCGACAGAGACTCTCTGAGCCCCAAGACACACTTCTCTCTGTCACACACACCCTCACCCCCCATCAGGTCTCCCCAGATTATGCTCTCAGGCTCTGATTCCAACATGTCCCGTTCGGAGGCGAAGAGCCAAGCTTGGCTCAGGAGCAGCGCGACGCCTTCCCGCTTCTTTCATTTCCAAAAGGAAATGAGTGTTGATTAAAGAATCCAGAGCTACTGCAAATTATTTGGAGAAACTGAGTAAGTCGCAGTGCAAATCCTCTTAGCAATGCTCCCTCACTTCTCCTTAATTCCTTTCTATAAATGGAGAGCCGGGACGGAGCATACCTCTGGAAAACCGCTCGCAAGCCCTGCAGACGCAGGGGCTCCGGGAAGGGAGTGAGCAGGGAGACCTGACTACAACAAGCCTGGAAGGAAAATCCACGAGCCTAATTAAAATGCAGATCCCAGCAGAGCAAAGCTTGGCTCCGGCCCTGGAGGTGTGCAGGACACAGGGAGCTCTTCCGAGGGCACGTCTCTTTAAACATTACTCACCATCGGCACAGCCCAGTGGCAAATCCCGGCCTTGCTGGGGCTCAGGGAAGGTTTTTTTCTGGCAAAATCCTGGAGCAAAGCCAGCTGGATAACACCAGGGGTGCTCAAAGCCCTGCTGGGGACTGGTGGGAGCTCCTGGGGACACTTGGGGTGGCCGTGGTTCCCCCCACGCCGGGTGCCCATGGCCTGACAGCAGCAGCTGGAGCAGGGAATAAGCCTGGCTTTGTGCCCACCAGCAGCTGGAGGGAAAGGGAGGCAGGAAGGCAGGAAAGCAGTGCCAGCAGGGTTGGCTGTATGTAAAACCCAGGGATATATTTCTACATGTCGGGTAAGAGGATGCTCAGCACAACCCAATCTTCCCGCTCAGTCCTGAAGGCTTCCTGTGAGCATGGGGTGAGGGGACAGGAAAAATACCTTCCCAACACTTAATCCAGGCTATTTGGCTTCATCCACTGCTGGACCCATGAGTTTGGAAAGCAAGTGCTCCTCTCCTGGCTGAGCACACGCCAGAGCTGCTCCAGGGATGAAGCTCCTTGTCCAGGCTGTGTGAGCACCTGAAGGTGCTGCTGCTCTTCTCGTCTCCTCCTCCCTCCAGATGAGAAATAATTCCCACAGTGACACAAGTCTCAGATTTCCCATTGCTTGAGCCACAAAAACAACCATTTTCCCCAAAGCAGTGATGTTTTCCAGCAACAGAGACCCCAAAACCTTGCTGCATCCTCCGGGCTCACTCCCTGTGGCAGTGGCTCAAGATGTCCCTCTCCAGGAGGAGATGTTGATGTCACCAGCCCCAGATGCCAGCAGGAAGAGGACCGAGGTGTCCAGTGATAGCCCTGAATCCCAAGGGACACCAGCATGGGGGCCTTGGGTGGGTGTTTGGGGACACCCTGCACATGGAACACCCCAAACCAGCGTCACTGGGAAGGCAGCCACAGGCTCCGGGAGCCACATTGGAATCCGATGGCATCACCATGATGCTCTCCTTGGCAGAGACCTGCCCTGGCATCGCCTCCTCCAAGTCTGCTCTCCCAAGGCTGGCAGGATGATGACTTCAGACTGATGTCATCCTTGGTGCACCCACTGCCGGCCCCTCCGGCGCTCGGCGATGCCAGCGGAGCAGTGTTATGGAGGAGCTCTTCCAGCACAGATGGGGCTTCCAGGGAAAAAACACCTGGGCTAGATATTGGAGGGGTGGTGTAAGGGTCAGGAGGTCTCCAACCACAAGGAGACACATGAGGCTGGAAGTTGCTGTCCAACTTCCACCACGCCTTTGCCTTGAGAGCTCTCGTCCGTTATCACGGTAGGATGCCCATTTGGAGTGTGCCTGGACAGCCCACCCCACCAGCTGCCAGCTCCTCCAGGGCAGCAGAGGTTGAGATCCACAGGGTGATGCTCCTATGAGCTGTGTGTGCAAGGACTTGACCCACTGCTGGCTCTTCCAGAGCCTCCAGAGAAAATCCTGACTTCCACACCACCAGGAGAGCTGGGGCAGGATGAGACAGCACGATCCCATTGCTCCTCCACCTTTGAGGCAAAGAAGGAAGACAACCAGCCAAGTGATCCATGGTGTGTCCTGAAGGCTCCAATGAGACACCCGATGCCAGGAGGGAAAGCTGGGCTGATCCTGGGAAGGGTTTGGCTCCACCAACCCCGGAGACAAGAACTCACCACTGTGAACATTTCACTTCCCACCATGGGGGACCAGCACCTGGAGTGCTGGGCCACTGGGTTTCTCCAGGGCCGTGAACAACTTTACAGATAAATGAACAATTATGCAGATTAGTTACTCAGACATGTGGTTTTTAAATCCAGTTTAAAGGACGTGGACTTTTCCAATACACAGATAAACTTTGGAGGAAAAAAAAAAGGATGGTGAGGAAAGTGATTTTGGGGAGAACAGCCAGCAAAAAGCAAGGCTACATAAGCCAGACCTCACAGTGACCACTGGGGAAGCTCATACCTTAAAATTTGGATCCCCAGCTCCCGCTGCCAGGCACTTCCAACCCCCCCAGCACAACCAGAGCCCATCACAGGGGGCTGGATCCGAGGCGAGGCAGAAATCCAGGAGGATCCCCAGGATCCTCACCCCTCCATGACTGCCCCCCACAAAACCCAAGCACATCCCCTCATTACTCTCTCCACTCAATCACTGCTCGCTCTGACCCCACGTGTCCAGCCGGCTCGAGCTTTTCCCACGAGCTGCCCCAATATCCAGGCTTTTAGTTTTAAATGGGGATTTTATGCAAGGATAATCTCTTCCAGCAGCAGTGATTTCTGTCTGGGGAGGGAGGGTGGCTGTGTCTGCCAGGGTCAGCGGTCCAGGAAGGTCTTCCACCACCTTCAAATATTCCTGAAACATTCCCAGTGGTCCTGACCGGAGTCTTCTGCCTCCCAACAGATGCAAATATTTGGGCATTTCTTGGGACAGGAGGAAATAAAGGAGCAGATTTAAGGAGCCCATATCCAGATGTGCATTTCTGTGATCAGCTGCCATCCAGGACCCACCTTCCTTCCAGGAACATGAGGGTGCCTGTCACCCTAGCAGGATGCTCCCAAATTAAGCTGGGATGTGGAGCAGGGTGGTGCCAAGGTAGTGTTGGTGGAAATTCTTCCTTGCAGTGCTTCTGGGTGAGCAGCAACTCCTGGGAGCAGGTTGGGGAATCCCTAACCTGTCATACCTCCAGGATATCTGGATCCTGCATCCCTCCCCCATTATCCCCCGGGATATCTGGATCCTGCAACGGTGCCAAGAACAGCCAGGACCCGCATGGGCTCCATGCTGCACCTGAGGGACCTGCTGGAGCACTGGGAAAAACCAAATCCCTCTTCCTGGGTGAACAGCGCAGGGACGACCACGCTCCCTGCAGGAACGGACCCTAAAACCCCGCTTTTCACCCCAAACTTGTTTCTATCCCTTATACCTGGGTGAGCTGCTGCTGTTGACAGCAGCACTGGGCGTGGGGACACGGATGCACGGAGACATGGATGCGTGGGGACACGGGTGCTGGTGGAGGCATGGATGTAGGGAGACATGGATGCGTGGGGACGCGGGTGCT